ACTCTCCTTCTCGAGCTGATAACGACACACACACACATATATACACACTAACCATATTAAACAACAACAACAACGCTGAGGGAAACAAAAAAAAAAAAAAAATTATTTTAAAAAAAAAAAATAATTTTAAGTAGTACACGAAAAGAAAGAAATAGAAAGAGAGAGAGAGAGAGAGATAGCGATAGAGTGAAAGAGAAAGAGTGAGAGAGAGAGATAGATAGAAAAAGAAAAACAAAAAGGTCGTACGCCATATTGAAAAACGACAGTGCTACAGTGCTACAGTGTAATTTATCTCCAACAATTTGTTTTGTTTGTGTTTTTCGTTTTTCGTCTTTTTTTTTTTTCTTTTAATTATTATTATCATTGTTATTATTGTTATTATTATTATTATTATTTGTGTTTTTAATTAATTTTTTTTTTTATTAAAATAAAATTCGTCGAGTATATTTTGGATTAAATAAAAAAAAAATTTTTTTGTCATTTGCATACGTAATTTGACTAATTACGTATATCACGTATTATTATTATTATTATTATTTATAATTAATTAAATAAATTTTATTTATTTAAACGAAATTATCATCATCGTCATCGTGTTTTTCAACGGTAATACGTCACTAATCATTTAAATTATTGCATTTTAATAAGAAAACGATTCGAAATAACGATTTTAAAAAAAAAAAATTTTTTTTTTTTACGTATACCGAATTTAACGTTTTTTCTCACGAGATTTTTGACGAAAGCACGACCGCCATTTTGTTTTTTTATTCAATTGTCGATTATTCGGATTGTTGTGCGTACGCTAACGAATTTTTTTCTTTTTTTAGGATAAATTAATTAATAATGACGAAGAAAAAATAAAAAAGTATAAGTTTGTTTTTAGTTTTTTTTTTTTTTTTATAAAAATAAGAAAAAAAAAGTTTTTGTTTTAACATGTGATCGAAAAGTTAATTATTAATAATAATAATGACATCAATTGCGCAATCGTTTACCACCGATGTCAAGGGTGAGTTTTTTTTTTCTTTTCATTTTTTTTTTCAATATAACGTCACGAATAATTTAACGATATTTTATATTAAACTTGAATTTATAACGTTTCACTTTTATATATCCTAATAATAATAATAAGGTATCGATCATTTTATTTGAAAAAAACGGTTGCACGCATTTATGTATGTTTATATATATATGTGGAGAAAAAACCGTTTCTAGAAATCTCTAACCGGAAGTTACGTTTTACTTGTATCGCTGTTAATATGAATGTTTGCGTTGGGATTTGAAAAAAAAAAAAAAAAAAAAAAAGTTTTTATTGAATTCCGTAGGCGCTCGCACAATGTTTAAAATAATTTTTGATCCGTAAAGTCACTCACACACGTTTTATTATTATTATTATTATTATTATTATTATATGTTCAACGCGAGTTTTATTGTATAATGAACACTTTTTTCATTTGAACGCACGCACGCACGCACGCACGCGTTTTTAATTTCTCTTATTTTTTCTACTTTAATAAGAACTATTTTCGGTTATACATAATTTTTATTATTATTAATATTTAATATGTTATTTAAAAAAAAACATGTTAATCGGTTGTATGTTCTTCAGATAACGCGAAGGAATCAACTAAAGTCTGAAACAATATGGCTAAAAATGAACGAGAGGCAGTTTCTTGATAATTGTTATCACGAAAACCAATATGTTGTGTTATCAGTGCTTGGTAAGAACGCTTATCTCAGTGTGTGTACCTAATGTGAGATATGGTTTATCAAGAAAATATTTCCCCCCATCAACCAACCATCTTTCACATTATTATAAAGAAAGAATGAGAAAATGTGTGTGTGTGTGTGTGTGTGAGAAAGAGAGAAAGGAAAACCGATTAATTATTATTATAATTTTCATTATTATTAACATGGATGGACAATAAGAGAGAGAGAGAGAGACAAACAAAAAAAGGTTATACTGATTACGATTAATGATAAGAATAATTAATCACCATGGGTAGTTCATAATTTTATTTTATTTTTTTTGTTTCTTAAATTCAAAATGGCGACTGTAAATAATTTTGACGTCATCGTAATTCTTTTGTTTTTATTTGTTCTATCGATTGTTATTATTATTATTATTATTATTATTGTTAGTGTTACGCACTCAGGGTTGGCTCGGTTTTTATCGCTTACTAACCGCAAATTCGTCGTGTAATTATTATTATTATTATTATTATTAAGTTAAAACTAAATTTAATTACGCATAATAATTTAACAATAAATTTTCTCTCTCTCTCTCTCTCTCTCACGTTTCGATTAGCGAGTTTGATGTATTTTTTTTTTTTATTTAAATTGACCGTTACGTTTTTTTTTTTTTTTTTTTTTTCTAAAACTCTATTTTTTATTTAAACATGGCGATATCATAGCGTTAGATAATACAAGATGGTTAGGTCGAAGTAACGTGGAAAAAGAAAAAGAGAAAAAGAGGGAGGGAATGGGAGAGAGAGGGGGGGGAAAAAAGTCAAAAAACCTCTTTTTTTTTTTTTTGCTTTACGCCAGTTAAATTTTTTTAATAATGCGTGCATTATTTGCTGATAAAAACCTCCTTATCTTTCTAACATCCTCTCAGGCTAGTGTGACTTCCTCCTTTGACTCGCAATCCCCCCCTTATTGTGTGTGTGTGTGTGTATACAAACCGGTTATTTGACAACCCTTACAAAACTATCATCATCATAATAATATTTGCTTTTGCCTGGGTGAACATTTGGGTTTCCTGTAATTGTCCTCAATGCGGTACCTGATTCATGATCCTCAAAAAAAGGAAAAATAGGAGTTTGTGTGTTTGTGTGTGTTGTGGGTTTTTTTTTTTGTTAAGTTTGTAACGTTGTCATTATGGAAAATGTGAATATTATTATCATTCTTATTAGTTAGGTTTGAAGAAATTAAAATTCTTCAATTGTTTATATATTTTGTTTATAATTTTTCTTAAAACAAAGAGTTAAATTGTTTTTGTCCTCTTCCACCTCCCCCCACCCGCGTCTTCTTTCGTCTTTGTCTGTTATTTGGAATTTGTTGTCGTCATTTAAGAAAATGAGTCAGAAAAAGGTTTTTGTCTCTTGTTTATTATGTTGTTGTTGTTGTTGTTGTTGGTTTTCGTTTATAATAAATAAAATTATGTGTTTGTACGCATAAAAGAATGAGATTTTTATATTTTATTTTTTTGTACTCTATGAGTCATTTGAAAACAAACAAATAGAAAAAGTCCAAAACGTTAAACTTTTTGATTTTCTTATTAATTTTTATATTAATGAAATCGTAATTGAAAAATGAAATGTAAAAGAAAAAAAAGCGATCAGGTACGAAAATTTAAATCGAATTTTTTTTTTTTTTTTTTTTTTTTTTGTAATTCAAGGCCTATGAGAAATTTAATTCTCAGCTTCTCTCTCTCTCTCTCTCTCTCTTTCTCTGGGTCGAACAAGGTAAATATTGAAAAAAGTTTAAAAATTCTGTCGGAAGCATAGCCTCAAGGTTATTATTAACTCGCCATAGAGTAAATAAAAGTAGTTATTATTATTATTATTAATAATTTTTCTTTTAAAATTGAGTTTAGAAAATAATTAATATTGTCGTCGTTAAAAACTCTTTGATGGTTTATCCTTTTTTTCTTCTTCTTCTTCTTAAAACCCTAAAATCTTTCCTTAACCTTTAACACACGAAAAAAAACAAAAAAAAACCGAAAACCTAAAAAAAAACTAATGTTTTATTTTTCATAAGACAAGAATGATGATTAAGGTCATGTGACTTTTCAACCTTTGACCTAATCCTCGTCACGTCTATAAATTTCTATATAAATATATTAATCGATTTTAAAGACATACAAAATTATATATATAAACACGCCACCCATTTATATTTATATATATTTATATTCTTTGGGTCATACGTGACATTAACCTTCCGAAATGTGATATTTTCTGTATTCTAGTGACACGTCTCGCAAACCCTCTTAGTCTCTTTCTCTCTCTCTCTCTTTTTTTTTTTTTTTTTATAGTTTTTGTAAAAATCATTAATATCATCATCATTTAACATTTTTATCGTTAGAAAATCTTGTCAAAAAAAATTATTATCATTATTATTGTTTTTTTTTTTTTTTTTTCTGTTGATGATCCGTTTAAGTTTTGTGTTTTTATTTGCATCGATGCGTAACCGGGTAACGGGGAATTCCCCCCCCCCCGAAAAAAAAACAAATTTGATTAATATGAAACAAAAAAAAAAAATAAAAAATTTTTCCCACAGTTTTTTCAACTTTAAAAAATTATTATAGTAAAATAATAATAATAATAATAATAATAATAATAATAATAATAATAATAATATCACCACGGACGACACGTGAAAGTAATAGTAAAAAGAGATAGAAATACCAATGGCAAAGATGAAAAATAAGAGAGAGAGAGAGAGAGAGAGAGAGAGAGAGAGAGAGAGAGAGAGAAAATTTGTTATTTTGTGAATAATAGTGACTAATAGTAAAAAATTTAAACAAAACAATTTATGAGTAACCCATCAGGTCATAAAAAAAAATTTTTATTTTAAATGATTGTTTATGAATTTTATGGGTTATCATGGACAAACACACACACACACACAGATGTGTAGAAAGAAAAGGTTGTTTTTATTATTATTATTATTATTTTTTAAAGTTGAAAAAATAAAAAGAGAAAACAATGGAGACCCTCAAACGAAAAACGTTTTTTTTTTTTTTTTAACGATTCCACATAATTATAAATATTCTCTTTATGTTATGTTTATTCCATTATTAAAATTTTTTTGTTTCCGGCGTAAAAAATTAAACGGATATATATTTATTCTTTCCAGGGATTTTAACGAATAATGAAAAGTTCAGAAGGGAAAAGACTGAAGAAGAAGGACTCGGAGAACTCTTAATAAAACCGCAAAATAATTCTCGTTGTTCGACGACGACGACGACGACCAATGAAAGCATGAGAAGCGGGAACATGGATAAAAACCACGAAGGGGAGGAGTCGGATGATTCGGCTCCGACCAATCCCTGTCAACAATTTAATATTGGTTGTCATGACAACGGGATGGAGTCCGATTACAACTGTCAATCGATTAACAATAATACAATACCATCTTACGAATATAGAAAAACGAAAACAGATCAACAAAATAGAATATCCGTAGTCAAAGAAGGAAAGACGTACTATCAAGACGCCATGAAAAAAGAGAAAACGCTCAAAAGGCAGTTTTCGATACAGGCGGAACACGATTACCACGGAAAATACGGAAGTGGTGGCGAAGAGGAGGGAAGGGAAGGGAAGAGAGAGTTGGAAGGGGATAATTCGGAGGAGGCTCCCTGCGATGATAATACATCATCAGTTGTTGCAAATGGAACGCATACGTCGGACTGGGAGTCGAGTAAAGATGTTTTGGATGGAGAACTGTCAAAACATTTGATAAGTTATCATTTGAACGTGTCCGAGGTCGGCAAACAAGAGGATTCGGAATCGAAAACCGAAGACAAAGATAACGACGGAACTCAAATCAATTACAATGACGCAATCAATAATAGTGATTACCGTTATTTTTACAACGAAAACAATTATAAATCCGGCAATTATTGTAACGCTGAATATTACACGACGAATTTTCGGACTACAAAAGGTGATGTGATGCTTAACGAAAAAGACATACAGTTAATTAACGATCAAAAGACGTACAATTATCAAGATGGCGGCGGGAGCGTGAGTGCGGAGTTTTCCAACGGAAACGAATTAGTCAGTTATTTACGACAACAACCGGACGATATGTTTTTGATGCAAGATGCATTTCAAAATCAAGTCATGCCGAAAAATATCGATCAGGTTATAGCGGACACGTTCAAAAATGATAATCGTACTTTTACTGGTTATGTTAATTATCAAAACGGTTCTTCGCCGAAAGACGAAGCAAGTTCGGAGGATTCATCTCACGAAACGGAAAAATTAGAATCGAAAATATTAAATTTATCACACATAAAGTATTCGCATAGTTCACGAGCGTCCGGCGGCGTTTCGGGAGATTCCGATCACCAATCATCATCACACATATACGATAATCCCTTAACGGAAAGAATGTTTGTTTTGGGACGGGCCACGAGTTCTCTAGTAGTGAGTTCAAAAACCCCTCACGAAAATTCATCGGGAAATTACGAGGGACCTTTCAGCGAAAGGATATCACTCCTTGGAACGGACGAATTAGATTTTGAAAACTCACCGTCTCCGAATCGTGATCTTCAAAGTCTGGATTCACCGCCGACTTCGAGGAGTCAAGGAAACATCTTGTCACTTACTACGACGACAACCAATTCTACTACTCCTAATGTTAGGTTCGACAATTCTAGTCTCCACCCATCACCTTCTCCTTCTTCTTCGTCTGTTATGCACTGTTTGAATTCTTTAACAAATCCATCATCGACAAGCGTACTTCAAGTTTTGTCTCCTCAAAGAGATTTACAAAATCCAGATTGCGACGATCAGGTAAATATATTTCCTTATCATCATTATCATTGGTATCATGCGCGACATGCCCATTTATCAAAAACCTAACAACATTAAAAAAAAAAAATTATAGGAAATGTATTCATCATTGTACAATGATAATCCGTCATTGAATTCTCTTCATTCTGGATATCAACATGATCAAGTTGTTAGTAGTTCAACATCAGGAATGATCCAGTCAACGCCATCAAATTCTGCAAGGTAAGAATTTTCTTTTTTTTTTTTTTTAATTCATTCACACATTAAACTTTCGTGCAAACAAGAAGATGAATGGAGACCTCTTTTTAAAAAAATTTAACCGTTAAAAATACTTTATAAAGAATATCATATTATCCTGATAAGACGGTGGGGATATCGCATTTACGTCATCATATCGCTTATTTATAAAAAAAATTTTTTTTCTCCCCTTTTTCAAATCCGGTACAATGTTCCAACATAACAAAAACATTATGTATCAAAGTTTAACTTTTTTTTTGTTTTTAAAATATTTATTTTGAATACAAAAATAAATATAATCTATACCGAACCTAAATAATAATAATAATAATAACAAAAAGAAAAATTTGAACGCGAAAATTTAGAAAAATTAGTCATTTGTTTTTTTTTTTCGTTGTTATTATTACGCGGCGTCCGCCATGTTTTTTTTTTAGACACCCCTGAAACGTTTTTATTTTCCCTGTTAAAAAAAAAAAAAAAGCCTGTAAAAAAAAAAAATTGTTTCGTGATGTTTATTATGTTCCCGGTTTGTTTGTGTGTGTTTTTTTTTTTTCAATTTTAATTTTTTGCACGATTTTAGTTAATTTTATTATGGTGATTCAAAAGCAGGAAAAAACTGACTAATAGAATAAACAAAATAATTACTACTACTACCACTACCACTACTACTACTGCCACTACTACTACTACTTACCTGAAACGAAACAAAAACAAAATTAATTAATTAATATTAGGTTAACATAATTAATTATAACAACACGATCATCCATTGTTAAATTGTTTATTATTATTATTATTATTATTATTTCGATCGATATGATTTAAATGCATCTTTGTCTTCTGCTTTTTTTTTTTTTAAGTGCATTTAAAATTCGTTATATTGTAAGCACCTGAAATTATCCATGCATGGCAAAAAAAAGTATTTTATTATCAGTAAGTGGTTGTCGTTGTCGTTGTTGTTGTCGTTGTTTTCACAATCAATAATTACATATGGTATCCAAATAGCCAAAAAAATATGTATGTGTGGCACCTGGTAATGATGGCAATCGTTTTAATTTTACAAAAAAAAAAGTTTATTATTATTATTATTATTTGTTTAAATAATGAAAATGAGTTTGTTGTTGTTGTTGTTATCTTTTCATTTATGAAAAGGAATAAATATGTTTAAATGACACACGAATCCGTTGGGTAGTCATGTTTAAAACTAAAATAAAACGGAAGGAACAAAAAATGTTATCAGTATATCCAGACGTTGAAATTATTGATAAGAGCCCTCCCCCACCCTTCGAGTCACTTAGATGCATGTCTCAGAGTTTAAGAGATGATAATGAGATGGCCTAGTGCAGGGTCGAAAAAAAAAAAAAAAAAATTTTCTCTTTTTGCTTTAATATTTGACTTTAAATAATTTCAATAAAAAAAAAAAAATGTGTGTGAATGATATGATAGATCAGTATTGCCAACTTTAAATATATTAATTATCGATCGATCGAACGGTTGGTACTATTATTAATAAATTATGTTAATTACATTTTGTTAAATTAATTAATTCGGATCGGAGGATTATCGCGTCGCGGATTATTTAAAAAAAAAAAAAATTAGTAAGATTAGTAGGATTAGTAGGTGTTTAATAAATAACTTACCGCATGTATATATATATTCTTAATACGGTCCTGTGAGAATTGACACAGCCCTTCTAATCTCAATCTGAACGTTATCCCTTCCTTAACCAAGCTAAACATGGGTGATGATTATCTTAGCCAGTGTTGTGATTACACACATTATAGAAAACATCTTGCTAAGTATATTCAGATTATTTAAATTCTTCATATTTTTTTTGTGGTGGTTATTTTTTAAATTATTTTTTTTTTTAACATTAAAAGTAATAATAATAATAATAATAATAATATTTTTTTGGTAAACAAATGTATTTTGTATTCGTTAGAAGGTGAAAAGGCCATTTTCGGCATCGTTTGACAAGGTGAGTGATGATTAAATGCCCAAAACATAAAAAAAAAAAAAGGACAATTCGGTTGTGTCGCATTTTTAACAAGTTTAAATTTCTACTAATTTTTTTTTTTGGCGGGAAAATTAAATTTTTTTAAAAGCAGGCTGTGGATCGATATTCCATAAAATAAATTCGCGTATGCATGTAGTTATTAATTATGTAGTAATTATTTTGTCAGCAAAAAAATTTTTTAATAAATAAATAAATAAGTAAATAAACAACGACAACCTAAATGGCCTGTTATATTAATAATAATAATAATAATAATAATAATGACTTTGTAAGCTTTTATGGAAAAAATTTGTCCTTGGTCAATTATGTGTATGAATTTTACTAATTTGGGGAGAGAGAAAAAAAAAACAATTTAATAATATTAAGATAAAGTAATAATTTAAAAATGGGAAAGGGAGGGAGAGGGGGAGTGGGGGGAAACAATCGCGGTCATTTTTTTCGAAAATAATAATAATAATAATAAAATTCGATCGTATAATCGAATCGAAAAAATTTTCTTATCGAAATATTCGTTTTTTTTTTGTTTTTTTTTTTTAAAGTGTAATTAAACCCTGATTTCTACATGTTATTATACCGATTTAACAATCGATCGATCGATATATCGAACGCGAATTATTATTATTATTATTTAAAAATTTAATTAGGTTTATTTTTAGGCTTTTTGTAAAAAAAAATTTTTAATCTTATCTTCCCCGGTTAGGAAAAAAAAAAGAAAGGCGAATCGCTTAGGTGTCCACTGTGACAGGAATCGGTCGTTTGTTGTTGTTGTTGTTGTTGCTGGTTGTTTACCTATTAAGTTCGTTAACCCGGCTCGTGCAGGTTTATTTCTTTTCATTTAGTTATTACATTCTAAAACAAGGGAAAAAAATGGAGTAATGTTTTGAACAATAACCCCTGCATGTTAACTCGTTCTTCTATTTATATAAAAAATCACGTTTTCTACCTATTGCATGTCAAAGCGTAGAAAAGTAAATTCCACCATATTGAAATTATTGTTATCCCTTAAATCTTACACACGCACACACGCACACACACACACACACACACACACACACACACCATACGTTTCATTTTATATTATCAATGAACGATTCGCTACATTTAATCATATTATTATCATATAATTAACTTATTTTTTTCTGTCTTTCTTTCTCTAACGGGATAATGTATAAGAGAGAGAGAGAGAGAGTGTACGAACCCAAAAGGGTAAAAATTTAAAAAAAAAAAAGGCGCGAAACGTGTTCGATCGTAAATTCGATTCTTTAATTAATTAAACAAATAATTGAAATATTTAATTGATTTAAATTTTTTTTTTTTCAATTGTTTTGTTGTTCAGGTATTAATAACAATAATAATAATAATAATAATAATAATAATAATGATTTAGGCTTTTCTTAAATTAACCTAAGGAGGAGAAGAGGAGGCTCGTATAATTAATAATCGGACACAAACAAGGGCAAGGGTATGTTTTAATCCTTGACCTTACACAATTATTGTGTTCCTCTTTATATAAATAATAATAATAATAATAATAATAATGACGTCATTTTTTACGAAAGGTTTTCAAGTTGAAAAAATGGCGGATTTTTAGGGGGTGTCGGTTGATGAATACGTCACGCGGTGCGTACAAGTTTAATACGATAATTATAATTTCGGGAAGGGGGGTTGGTGTGGGGGTGGGCGCGAGGGGGTTCTCGCGATTCGTATGGAAAAAAAAAAAAAAAGTTTTGGTTAAAAAAAAAAAAATAATATTTAATTTTTGTGCGTGTGTGTGTGTGTGTGTTTCTTTTTCGTGAAATGAGAATGAAGCGTAACCGCATTTAATACTCCGTGATATATTCAAGGTCGTTTTGATTCTTCTAATCGCCTTTCCTTCATTTTGTTTTCAATTTTTGTCACATTCTTCGGAATCAAGTGAAAAAAAAAGAAAAAATAAATTGTTCATAATGTTTCCAATTGGGTGTGCGTTCGCGTGTCTTTTCTTTTCTTTTTTTTTTTTTTTTCTTTTTTAAAGTTTAAATTTATTGCAAAATGAAGTGTAAGTTATTAATCATTATGTTTAAATTCAATTTTTTCTTTTTTTTTTTCTTATTAAATTGTACATGGGGGTGGCACAAAAAATAAGGGTGCGATTTGTTAAAAAGGATGCACTTATGGGTGGGAAAAGGTTGAGAAAGTGTGAGAGAGCGAGGAGCGAGAGAAGGAAAGAAAAGGAAAATTTGGAATTTTTTTTTTATAATATGAAAGGTTGAAAGGTCAAAAAACGAATTTTTTTTTTTCAAATAAAAATTTTACGGGGGGCTGGGGAGAAAAATTTATTACTCACGGTAATAAAAAAAAAAAAAAAAAAAAAAACGATTCAATATGTCGTCAGATTGTAAAAAAAAAAAAAAAAAAAAAATTTCTTTAAATTTATTACCAATATTATTATTAATATTATTATTATTATTTCTGCGATTTTCCATAATTTTTCTTTTTTTTTTTTTTTGTAATGTTGGGAAAACTTTTTTTGCCATATTTGCTCACAGATTTATTACTGTAATTTTTTTTTTTTTTTAAATTATTAGTTAATAATAATAATAATTTTATATATATTACGGTAATTTTAATTGGGGGGTGGGGAAAGCAGAAGATTTTTATTTTTTTTTAATTTTTTGAAAAATATTTAATGGAGTCAGTCAGTCAGTAGTAGTAGTAGTAGTAGTAGTAATAAGAAGGAAAATTTATTATTATTATTATTGCAATCGTTTACGGTACAGATTTTGCTGTTGTTGATGCTGTCGGTAGTAATAATAATAATAATAAGTTTTTGGAATTTTTCTCGCGATTTTAAATCATCGGAAAATGGACTTTTCATATATATATATATATAAAAGAATACGTAGGCGCGATATTTTTTCCTTTGTATATATTTTCTGTCAAAGGATTTAGACGATGACGTCATCATCATAATCCCATGATTATCCGTCACTACTTGAGTCAACTCTTTATCCGTTTAAAAAAAAAAAAAAAAAAATAGTTTTGGGTTTTTGATATTCCTACGGGCGAATTCGTAGGGAAGAAGAAAAGGAGGAAAAGGAGGAAAAAGAAAAATTTTTTTTTTGTTTGTTTGTTTGTTTTTTTAGTGCCGCCATGTACCAATCAAAAAATTATAATTACTTAACAAACACTTCATCACACGTTGCTGATTTGTCAGCAGCAACGGGTCAAACCTGGCAGGGTGTCGAATCAGATTGTAATAAGACATCATTGCCAGCATTTTCGAAAAGATTTTCAACAACGAATCGTCTTCATTCGTATGCAATACATAGAAATTATCCGGCAACAAGTTCCGGTTATTTAAGTAAGTTTTTTCCCTTTCGATTTTTCCTTTTTCTTTTTTTTTCACGTTTAACATATGTGTTTTTGCACGTACCTGTTTTCCTTTGTTTACAGCATGTCCAACGGAAAACTCTTCGTCTTCATCTTCCTCATTATGGTACGAACCCACCACCAATAATTTACCACATTACAGTTTAATTGGGGAGACTACGGGAGGACCATCGTCGAGAGCGAGACCTCCAAGTACTTTACCATCAACAATATCAGCTTCCGCTTCTTTGTCGGCCTGTAAGTTAATCATTATTATTATTATTATTCAAAATATTATTATTATATTTTATAAATATTAGTAGAAGAAAACTTACCAGGTATAGTAGGGAGACAAATTTGAAAAAAAAAAAAAAATGTTTAAGACGAAATAATAAAGTTAACCTTGAAAATTTATCGCGTAACATAATGATGAAGCAATTAAGGGTTGGATAGCCCATAGGTGGCGCAGAGACGCTATTAGTAGACCTGTTAATGACCGGCTGGTCTTTTATGCGTAATACACTCGTCTGGCATTTAAGGGAGTAGGGGATCGTGGGGGGGGGAAGGAGGGTGGGTGGTGTCGAAGGGGGGAAAACATCGGTGGTGAATCTAAATCAATTTTAATAATGATAATAATGTTTTCCCATAAAACGAACGTTTGAATTGTTCCTTAAAAAAATTTTTTTCCTAGGATTCGAATTTCCCTCCCTTCTCCCTCCTCCCTCCATCTCTTATCCCGCCCTTTCCCCTCCTTTCTCCAACCCTTCCCCCTCCCTCTTTGGTACGTTTATTCGTTAAAATCATTCTCGAATGGTTTTTTGTTTTGTACGAAATGTAGCGAAGTAAGTAAAACGGGAACCGGAAATGGAAACATGATGATGATTATTATTATTATTATTAGTAATTTGCCATGTTGAAAATCAGTCATTTGTAATTAATTTTCAGTCGTCGATTATTCAGAGGGAAGGGAATGTGTTAATTGTGGAACGGTGTCAACGCCACTTTGGCGGCGAGACGGAACGGGCCACTATTTATGCAATGCATGCGGGCTGTACCATAAAATGAACGGAATGAATAGGCCGCTGGTCAAACAACCGAAGCGGCTGGTAAGAAAAGCGTTTTTTTCTTTTTCTTTTTTTTTTTTCTCTCTCATCATTATTTTCAGGTCCGTTATTTTATTTCTTTACATACATATATATATATATTTATCGTAATTAAAACAAGGTCTAAAAAAAAAAAAAAACAAAAGGGCTGCATGCGTGCCTGAAAAAAAAAAAAAAAAAAAACAAACTTGGGCGCGTGTGTGCGTACGTATCTCTCTCTCTCTCTCTCTCTCTCAAATGGCAACACATCAAGTGTAATAATAATAATAATGTACGTTAATGGGTAATTAAAAATCTTGACTTCGACTTTTATTTATTTATTTATTTTTTCATTACGAAAAGTCATAAATAATTAAATAATAATAATAATAATAATAATAATAAAATATATCAGTGAGTGTAGCACGCGCAAGTTAAGAGCACGTGTGTGTAAGCGTGTGTGCGTGTGTGTGTGTGTGTTACGTGTAACTTCATCCTTTTTCAAGGCAAATCAATTTAAATGTTTCCGATGTAAGTACCTTATTCTCTCTCTCTCTCTCTCTCTCTCTCTTTCCCTAATACCACGATGGAAGAAAAACGTGACAAATTAATTATGGTAAATAATAATAATAATAATAATAATGTCATAGAAGCAGAAGACGAAGAAGAACAAGAAGGGAGGAAAAAAATTAAACCATCGTTCGCGCCTTTTTTTTTTTTTTTTTTTTTTTTTTTATAACCCGCGGCGAAAAAATTGTTTCAAAACATTTCTCTATCTATCTATCTTTCTCTCTCTCTCTCTCTCTCTCTCTCACTATTATTTCTTCTTGTCAGGATGTCACATAATGAAGTATTCGACGTTTACGAAAGAACATAAAACAATTTGGGTTTATTATTATTATTATTAAAAAAGAAATTTTTTTTTTTTTAAATGAAATGTTTTAAAACAAACCCTTTTTTCGCGAAATAATTAAAAATCGAATACTTTATTTTGTGAACGAAGGCCTTTTAAAGCCCTTGTAGAGATTTTATTTAGACCTTTTCATTATTAATTATTATTAAATAAATTTTTAAAAGAAAAAAGAAAGAAAAAAAGAAAAACGCTTTTCTCACATTTTAATTTTTTTTTAAATTAAATTAAATTAAATTAAAATTAAAAAAAATTAATTCGAAATAAATAAAAAAAAATAGAAAAAATTTTTACTGTGTTCCAGTGGCAGTAACGGGGCCCCCTCCTGATCTCTACAAGGGCTGGGCTTATCCTGACGCCAGGGCAGTTACTTCAAGTAGGGAAGAAAAATCATCTAGAAGATTGGTAAATATATAAAAAATCATTATTATTATTATTATTACCATCATCCACGTCATCATACACGTCATCATCGAATTTTTCCTTCATTTGTTTCAATTATTATTATTATTATTATTATTATTATGAAATTTTCAGACTAATAATAAAAGATTAGGACTCCAATGTTCGAATTGTAACACGGCAACAACATCATTATGGAGAAGAAATTCATTAGGTGAACCCGTTTGTAATGCTTGCGGTCTCTATTATAAACTTCACGGGGTCAATAGGCCACTGGCAATGAAAAAAGACAGCATACAAGTAAGTATTATTATTATTATTATCACCCCGACTTGTTCAGAAGTTAAAGTAAAAAAAAAAAAAAGAAAAAAGTTTTTTGTTGTTTTTATTTGCTTACCATAAATGATTTGGTGGTGGTGGAGTTGCGTCCGAGGTAAGCCTGAAAAAAGAAAATTTATTCAATTAGTATTAGAATTTATTATTATTATTATTTATACATCTTTCATTTACAGACTAGAAAAAGAAAACCAAAAGGTTCATCGAAAAGTGAAGCATTAGGAAACGTTGCTAGTCCGGTATCTCACTCTTCGGGTCTTGGAATTGGAGGAGGAGGAGGACCAACAGCAAAACGAATCAAACTCGAACAAAACGGTTGTTAATACTTACATTTTAATGACGTCACATTAATCCGAAAAAACCTTTTTTCTTATAATTTTATTATTATTATTATTAAAGATTCTTTCGGAGATAATCGAACCGGTAGTCATCATCATCATCATCATCAACATGGTAATTCTCTTGTATCGAATCCTCTTGCACCATACTCAACATTGTACTCACAATGCGGTTCTCACGAAGCTCAATCACGCGTATTCGTATCTCCATATCACACTCAGATCTCTCATTCGGTATGTTTTATTACTCTATGACACGTGACCGTTAAACAAAATGGCGGGAAATGTTAACCTTTGACGTTCGTTCGTTCCTTATTCTTTTCTGTGTTTTCAGGCTTATTATGATTTTCCGCAAGGTTCACCCGTCGAAACGGAAACTTTAACAAGTAAAATTGATGAATCGACCGGAAATAATTCTTGTAGTTCGTCTTCCTCTCCTAAAATGGTAGCCGCACAAGATCCATCATCGTCGCAAGTCGAAAGAACAACAACCACTTAGATCTGTTTAAATTTTACAATCTCAGACAACAACAAAAAAAAAAAAAAAAAAAAAAAAAAAGAAAAAAAAAAAAAACGTCAACGAGAGGAATTTACATCCCTTACGGGCATTTTATCATAATAATAATAATAATAATAATAATATTAATAATAATAATGAAACAAGTGTTATCAGGTTTTATTATCAAGTCGAGACAAATCGTAGGAAAAAACAAAAAAAACGTGATCGACTAATAATTTTTTTTTTTTTTTTTTTTCCACTAAATAACGAACCCTAATAGAAATATCAATAATAATAATAATAATAGTAATAATAATAATAATAATAATAATAATTTTGCTTATTTTTTAATTTAAAAAAAATTAAAAAAAAAAAAAAAAAAAAAAAAAAAACGGAAAATGCGTCGTTTCATCATCGCCTAAAAATTTTCCTCTCGTGTTTAAAATTTTCTTTTTTTTTTTCTTTCTCTCTCTCTCTCTCTCTTCACGTCCGTTAGTAATAATAATAATAATGATTTTTTTTTTAAATAAATGTTAGATCGTGTGCGTGTGCGTAAGTGCGTACCGATCTTTTCTTTATATATATATATATATATGCTAAGTTACATTGTCCATCACTTATCATCACATTATCCCTTAAATTTTATTATTTTATTTTAATTTTATTTTATCATCATTATCACCATTATTATTATTATTATTATTATTATTATTATTATTTGGTAAAATCAATCAATTTATTATAATAAATGTGAGAAAAAAAAAAAAAAAAAAAAAAATTATCATAGTTTAATCAAAGTAACTTTTGTGATCAAATCAATTTTTTTTTAAAAAAAACCTTTTTTTATTATTATCATTATTATTATTATTATTATTATTATTATTATTATATTTTTTGAATATTAATCGATTAAAGTAAATGATTGTGTGCAAGAGACAATATTTAATATATATATATATAACAGTAAAAAACAAACAAACAAATGAAAAAAAATTTTAACTTAATTTTATTATTTTAATTAATTTTTATTATTTCCTGTTAATAATAATAATAATAATAATAATAATAATAATAATTTACCTAATTATCATTTAATATTAATTTATTTAAATCAATGTTTTAATTGTAATTTTTTCTTTTAAAAAAAAAATTGGATTTTTATTTATTTTTTTATTAATAATAATAATAATAATAAATAAATTTATTTTAATTTTATTTGTTTTTTTTTTTAAAAAAATAAAAGGAAGACATTTTATTATAATAATGTTTTACCAATGCAGTGATTGATTACTTCCGTTAAATGTGGATTTTCCAATGCTGCAGCGACTCTTTCCTTATCATTAAGCTGTTTGTTAACTGCTGTTTCAGATGCATGACTACCAGGTGTTATGCAAATATCAACTTTGTACCTTGATGGCAATGCTCTTAAAAGTTGAACCCTTAACGATAAACCTATTAATGTTGCCATACTACAATGTGGAACTGTGGGTGTGAAATTAACAACAACTTCATTTGTTTCATTAATTACTTTTATGTGATTTTGTGAAACAACATTTAATTCTTCAAGTGTTAACGGATACTCTGGATCTGGAAAATAAAAAAAATTCACTTTTAACAAGATTACAAATTCATTTAAGTTTCATTTCCATGATACGATAGAAAATGAACAAACCTGAGACATTTCTCAAAAGATCAAATACTTCTCTACAATCAATTTCATCAGAAATTAATTCATCTTCTTCTTCAACGGTCAATTCTCTATTTTCACTTTTTTCATAAATTTTTGGATTAACATTTTCATAACTCGTAGGCATTATGTCCCGGAAAAAAAACTTTTTGTAATTAATTATATAAAACTCAAAAACACATTTTAATTAAGAAAGAAATTATTTGATAAAAGCATTGAAGAGAATAACAACAAGTGATTAAGTTTCTATGAATCATAAAATAATAAATTTATGTCTAATTTACAAGAAGGCGGTGAATTCACAAATAAACAAATATGGTAGATTTTTTACAATTGTAAAAGTAAATGAGAATCGACTAATGACTTTCAGTATGATTATACTGGATATTTGCATTACTTTTGGCACCTCAATTTATATTATACAACTAAGTATCGGATAACGGATTTAGTTTTTTTTATACAATTCGAAATCATGTTCAGAAGTATATGCTTTACTGAACAATGGGAAAGTTATTGCAATTGGCTACACAAAATCAAAATAAATAAAATTGTTTTGATAATATGTGTTGTTCTAATTGTAGTTCCTTTAGTTACTCATTTGTATCTATCTGAGGTAAGCTATCTTGATTTGGGAAACTCTTGCAAATATCCTACCAAAAGATAAACAACAATAATGACTAGTCATAAGGTTATCATGTGCGTGAGTGCGTGTTTTAAAACCCTTTGGCCCCACACCACATCATTCACTACAATGGCATTATTTCACATGTTAAATATCATTTAATTTTAGGTTGACACCTTGTCACCTGAAACTGACATTTACAGAACTCGTGCAAAACTAGAAGCCCTGGATGATTTTCCAGTATTTCAAGCAAGCGATTTAAAATCTAGAATTGAAGAAATGCTGAGGATAAAAGGATCTGTTGGTATGGAATTAAGAGATATAGAAGCCAAAAGGCAAAAATTACAATTGGAAATAGCATCGTTGAATCAAAAAAACGAAGAGGTTAAAAATGAAATTTTACATCAACAAATGGAATTGGAAAGGTTAAAAATATCCGTTCAGCAGGTAGCTAAGCCCTGATAATGATAAAAATTTAAGTTACTGAGAGTTATTTTAACGAATAAAGTGTAAAATTTTGTTTTTTTTTTAGGCGGAAGTTGCACAGAGAGAAGCTATACAACGAAACACGCCAGAACTTGCTCTACCTCTTACACTTTACTCGAATGAAATACCTAAAACAGTTGATTATAAATTGAAAGAAGGTTTAGAGTTTTGTCAGATGCATAATTGTTGGGATTATTCTCGTTGTTCAATCACTTCCGGATTTCCTGTTTATTTTTATGAGGTTATGATTTCATTCATTCATTTAAAATTATTCTTTGACCTAACCTAAATCATGACAACTTTAGTTTTTTAACCTATTTTTAAATGTAACATTTTAAGGTTTCGAATGCTTAAAGTCCTTACTTCCATCTTGATACCTCAAGCCATTCACCTGTCACCTGTCCCATAGAAATTTTCATTAAAAAGAAAAAAGGCAATAGGTAAAAAATAACATGTCTTGTTTCTAATTAGAAAAAAAATAAAACTCGAGTAATTTATAGCAGTTTTTTGAATTTCGAATGTTAAGAAAAAAATTAAAAATTTTCATTCATTCATTTTTAGGAAATTGATTGGAAAGTTGAAACATTCATATCGACAACAATAAAACAAGTTTTAAGTTATAATCCACACATAGTGAAAAATCCAACAATTGCATGTGCTTATTTGGTTTTATTGGGTGAATCGAAAGAAAATCACACGACTCAAACATTATCGGATTATTTAAAAAGTATTTGTTTTTCATTCACAGAATGGATATTTTTAAAAGATGGTTTGTTGATGAATGAATGAATGATTTAATCGAGTCAACATTTTTTTTCAGGTTTGAAATATTGGGGAGGAGATGGAAGAAATCACATTCTATTACATTTGTCGAGGAGAGATCTTTCAACGACACAAGATAGATTTTCAGGTGTGAATACAGGGAGAGCAATCATTGTACAATCAACGTTTGAAAGATTAAGGTTTAGACAAGGTTTTGATCTAGTCATACCTCCGATATTAGGTCCTCCGGGTGGTGACATGTGGCAAGACTGTTCAAATATGTTACCTGCAAGAAGAAAATATTTAATGTCATTCCAAGTATTTACATTTTAAAAACAAAATTTTAATTTTTTTGTTTTGTTATCATCAAATGAAATATTTATTGGTTGTTGTTTGTTGTTTTCAGGGTCAAACCGAAATCGGTGGAAAATATTTCGAGGAAAACGTAATCGAAAGACTAAAAAAATTTATCAATTCAACAAACGATTTACTTTATTTTCATTTCACGTGTGATCCTCCCATCGTGAGCTTACAATCGTAAGTGCGAATGCGAAAAATTTTTATTTTGCACATAATTTAATCGATTTCGATTTGTAACGTAAATTGAGTGAAAATTTCGTGTAAGCAGAAAACATCCGGATTTACAAGAATGGCTTTTGTGCGGTACGGAAACGACGAGAGGAACGATATTGAAAAATTCAACGTTTGTTTTAATAATGGCTCCGCCGACGGATATCATATCATCCACGATATTACAAGCGAGAATTTACGAAGCTTTAAGATCCGGTTCCGTACCTGTCATTTTAGGAGGAGATCAGGTTAATCGTTTATCATAACACATAATTATCAGGTTATCATAAATAAAAATGTCGTCCGTTTTAACGTTTATAATTTTTTTTTTTTTTTATAAAGGTGAAATTGAGTTTCGACGAAGTCCTAGTATGGAAAAAAATAATTTTAATGATACCCAAATCGAGAATATCCGAATTACATTTTATATTACGAAGCATTCCCGACAGCGAAATACTGTTGATGAGACGTCAGGGTCGAATCGTTTGGGAAACTTATTTATCGAGTTTTCAATGCGTCATCGATACGATCGTTGCTGCCGTTAGAGACAGGCTTGGTATACCACCTTTGGCCGTACACGATGAACCCGCCCCAAGCGTTTTCAACAGCACTTTTATTGTAATGATAATAATAAACAACAGCGAAAACGATTTCGTTAAAATTATTTTTTAATAAAACTTTTCGGTTTTTCAGCCCATAAGAACGGATGCTGTTGCTCCCGAAACGGAACCGGAAGAAAATTTAGGACCCTTAGAACCGCCTTATCCATCTCCCGCCTTTAAAAGAAATTATACGTTTTTTCTAACTCAGGTAAAATTATGACGTCATGAATTGTACGACAGCAAAAAGCGTTAAATTTTTCTTTTGTTTTTTCTCGTAGGGTTACGAAATTTGGAACGTTTGGGCAAATCCTTTTTGGCTTTATCCGCAACTTCCGTTCGATCCCGTTTTACCGTCGGATGCGAAATTTATCGGTTCGCCGACGGGATTCAGACCCATAGGAAAAGGTGCCGGAGGTGCGGGAAAAGAATATTCGGAAAATCTCGGTGGAAATCATCCCAGGGAACAATTTACAATCGTCATGTTGACATACGAACGAGAACAAGTAACGGAAAATTTTCTTTTTTTTTTTTTTTTTTTAAATGACGGCGACGAGCGTTAATTTTTTACACTTTTCCCTGGTTTTTTTTAAGGTTCTCATAAACTCTCTTAGTAGACTCTACGGTTTGCCGTATTTGAATAAAATAATCGTCGTTTGGAATTCTCCCAAACCGCCGTTGGAAGATTTACAATGGCCCGACATTGGAGTTCCAATACACGTAAAATAATTAAAACGAATAAAATTTTTAACGTATTTTGCGCTAATGGATGTAATCGATAAATGATTGTTTGTAAAACAGGTCGTGAAAACGTCTAGAAACAGTTTAAATAATAGATTTTTACCATACGATGCGATAGAAACGGAAGGAGTCCTTTCCGTCGACGACGATGCTCACTTGCGCCACGACGAAATCATTTTCGGTTTTAGAATTTGGCGCGAAAAAAGGGATAGAATCGTTGGATTTCCCGGAAGGTTTCACGCGTGGGACCTCAATCACGATGGATGGTTGTACAATTCGAATTATTCGTGCGAATTATCGATGGTTTTAACGGGTGATTTGTTTGTTTTTTACATTACAAATCGTTTATCAAACACGAAAAAATTATTATTATTATTATTATTATTAATAATTATTATTGTTATGACGACAGGAGCTGCTTTTTTTCACAAATATTACACGTATTTGTATTCATATTGGTTACCACAAGCAATAAGGGATAAAGTCGATCAGTACATGAATTGCGAAGACATTGCAATGAATTTTCTAGTATCTCATTTTACAAGAAAACCACCGATAAAGGTTTCCTTTTTTCCTTTGTTTGTTTTTGTTATTTATTATTATATATAGGAATGAAATTTACTACTTACCCTTTTGTTTGTTTGTTTGTTCGGCTTGGATGTAGGTAACGTCGAGATGGACTTTTCGATGTCCCGGATGTTCCGTTTCTCTATCCGAAGACGATACTCATTTTCAAGAAAGACATAAATGCATTCAATTTTTTTCACAGGTAAATCTTCTGCATAAAAAAATAAATAACACGAAGAAAATTATAAAATTGATAAAAAAAAAAAAAATATTAATTTATTGTCAACAGGTATTCGGATACACTCCATTACTCAACACACAATTTCGTGCGGATTCGATACTTTTCAAAACGAGAATACCACACGATAAACAAAAATGTTTTAAATTTATTTGAAAAAAACTATTTTTTTTTTACTATTTTATTTGTCCTCTCCTCCCCTTTCCCTCCTCCCCCTTCCCTCTCCCCGCCCCCCGAAAAAAAGCGCGCATGTAAATTGTGCGAAAGTCTCAATTATTTATTATTATTATTATTATTATTATTATTATTAAATAAACATAATAAAAAATTTTTTAATTAAATAAAATTTTATTTATTTATTTTTTTATTACTCACCGCAAAAAAAACCGGAAGTGGTGATGGTGTTCTCCTGTAATCCAACTACTAGGAGGCTGGATGGTTAGGGGGAGGGGGTTCCTGGATTGGATTTCCCTCCGTTGATTAGGTGTTCGCTAGGGGTAAATCTTCAGCTTGGATGCTTTGGGAGTCCTCGAGGTAGAGTCCAAAAATTGACCATATCCGAGTTGGGGGTCGTGGGTTCAAATCCCCTGGATTCAATTTCATCTCGTCGAAATAAAAAAAAAAAAAACCTAAAAGAAGATAAGCGACCAAGCATCCTTTCGAGGTATCTCTCTCTGTCTCTCTTTCTCTCTCTGTGTGTCTGTGTGTCTCTCTCTCTCTCTTCCTCTCTTCCTCTCTCTCTCTCTCTCTCTCTCTCTCTCTCTCTCTCTCTCTCTCTCTCTCTCTCTCTCTCTCTCTCTTCCTCTCTCTTGAAACTTGCAGATTCTTCGAAAGAAGCAGGAACGATGATGGTAGCAGCTCAAGATCGTTTCTCGAAGGTAAGAAAAGGGGAAGTACCGGGGGGATCTTCTTCAGGGGGGATTCCCGCTATATTTCTCCTGGATTAAAAATATTATAAGTAATAATAAATTTTTTTTTTTTTTTTTTATTTTTAAATATTTTTATATTTAATAAAAAAAATAATAATAATAATAATAACAAAAGGGTAACGCGATAATAATAATAATAATAATAATAATAAACGATACACATCACGTGATAAATAAAATAAGAGTTTTTAATACAACAACATGAAAAGTAAAAAAAAAAAAAAAAAAGAAAAAAAACCGGAAAATTTAATAAATACAATAAAAAAATTTTTCTTTTTTTTGTCTAACAATAATAATAATAATAATAAATTTATTTATTAATTAATTTATTTAAATATATATTAAATAATAAAAAGCACCCGTTCAATATTAATTAATTAATTAATTTTTTTTGTTCAATCGTCAGCAAAGTAAAAATATATTTATTATTATTAAATAATTAAATTTTTTTTTTTTTTGTTTTTTTTTTTTTTTCGAAATCATTTTATTATTATTATTATTATTAATACTCCATTAATTTAATAAATTATTAAATAATAATAAAGAATCGTTATTAACTTATTATTATTATTATTATTTTTTCTAATATTTTATAATTAAATAATTAAAGCATGTTTACCAATTAAGTCTATTTTTTTTTTTTTTTTTTTTTTTTGCTTTTTGTTTTTTTTGTTTTTAGCTTTCGAATTATCATTATTATTATTATTTATTTATCAATTATTATTATTATTTATATTATTATTATTATTATTAAATTTTTCAATTGCTTTATTTATTTATTTATTTTTATAAACTTTTATTTTTTGTTATTTTTCACCTGGAAAATAAACAAAAAAAAAAAAAAAAGAAAGAAAGGAAAAAAAAAGAAAAGAAAGAATTACGATAATAATAATGATGATGATGATAATAATAATTAGTCATGTGGAAAAATTAATAAAACTTACCTGTGTGCCTTTTCTCTCTTTCTCTCTCTCTTTCTATCTCTCTCTCTCTCAGGAAGTGTGGATGTCCGTTTACGTCTTTGTACGAATCGATACATTATTATTATCATCATCATTTATTATTTATTTATTTATTTATTATCATTATTATTATTATTACTCTCTTGCTGTTGGTAAAATTAATCAATGTGGATACGATTAAATCCCGAATCCTCCAAATCGTTAATATCTCACTGAAATGAAAAAAAAAATAAAAAAAATAAAAAAAATAAAAAATAAACGATAATGATGATGATGATGATGACGTATACGCGACATTATTATTATTATTATTATTTGCGTTATCGATCGGTATTAAAAATATAAATAAATAAAATGTCTACAATAAATAAATAAATAAAATAATACATACCATTGTTAATTCGCAAGAGAAAAATGTGTCAATCAATTATCAATCAATCAATACAATTAAATCATGATCATTAATGATCATTTTATTAAGTTAATTAATTATTATTATTATTATTATTAGTATTATTATTAATAAATTTTCACTCTAAATCACTAATGACCATCCACTACAAGGTTTTTTTTTTTTTTAAGTAAAAAAAAAATCCAAAACTCAGAGACTTCAGGCATGACTTTAAACACTTTTTTTTTTTTTTTTGAACGCTTACGCACGTACGCACGCACGTGCGTAAAAATACGTACGTTTACGCAACACGTGTGCGTGCGCGCGTGTGTTTGTTTGTGTCTTTGTGTGTGCGTAAGTATTTATTATATATCCTTGTGTGTGTTTGTGTGTGCGTGAGTATAATAAACGCATTCATTTTTTTTTTTTTTTTTTTTTTTTTTTTGGTCTTGCTAGTAGTAAACGCAAAAAAATTTTAGTCGTGTCAGTAGTAGTAGTAGTAGTAGTGATAGTGACAGTGGTAGTAGCAGTCGTTTGTTTTCTTTTTGACGTCATTATTATGTACGAATAATAATAATATTGTTTTTTTTTTTTTATATATGCGGCGCGAACTATTATAATTTAAGGGAATCTAAACTAGCAAGAGAACTACGGCGTGATAAACCGAGTGAGGGAGGTCCACTAACCAATGATGATGTTCCAAATAATTTATACCATCCTATAACAATATTCGATAGATCCAATTCATCTAAAATAATCTGTGCGACCCCCATGAAGACTTTTTTCCCTTCGATTCTACCATAGTCGCCCCAAACGGTAACCTGAAAACAAACAAAATGAACAACAACAACAACCAAAACGACAACAAGTTAATATTATTATTATTATTATTAATAATTATCTTGCCTGTAACACGCAACCCGATGGATTTTCACGAAATGATAACGGTTGTTGATACCAGGGTGATAAAGTTCTTCTTGCCGTTGCCGTTTTAGCTTTTGCAACGCATTTTTTCCCATTCACGAGATAAACTTTTACGTATGGCGCTAAAATCATAATAATAATAATAATAATAATCAATAATCGATTTCTATGAGTACCCGAATAATAATAATAATAATAATAATAATTTGTTATTAACCGGGATAAATTTTAGAACCGGGACGCGCTTGTAATCCTCTCGCTCTCACCACTTCCACTTCCAAGTGTCCCTTTTTATAACACAAACTCAATTGTATGTCACCCAAAGATGGGGCACCGAGTACTTGACGTCCGACTAATTGACCGGGACCCAAACCGTCGATGAAATCCGATAATTGTCCACCTTCTGAACTTTTCAAAGATGGAGCCCAACTGCTTTTAAAAATTAAAATTAATATTAATCCAATAGAATTTTACTTAAATTCAAAAATTAAAAATGAGAAAAAAAACCAGAAACAACAGAGGCTTAAAGAGAATTTTTTTTTTTTTTTTTTTTTTTTTTTTTAGTTTGTGCAGAGATATATATAAAAAAAACAATACACGGTGGATGAAAGAAAAGGTTAGAATTAAAAAAAAAAACATTTCCTTAATACGACACTGATTTTTTAAATTCTAACCCCACTTTACCTGTCCTCCTTCTCCTTCTCCTAGAGTAATCTGATGCATTTCATTAGTGAAAATAACAAACACATACACACACACACACATAATAATAATAATTTTAATTTAAAAAAACACATTTATATTATTATTATTATTATTAAGCCATGCAAAGCAATCTAATGATCTAATGATCACACACGCACGCACACGCACACGCACACAAGTAAAAGTATGAGAAAATAACATTTATATATATATATAAAGTAGGAAAAAAATAAAAATGTCTGCATGATTTTTTTTTTTTTTTTTTAGAAAAACTTACATAGAAGATGAATAGAAATCTTGGTGGTGGCTGGTGGCAGGTGGCACAACCTCCACCGACCGATGAACTCTACGACTATTCGAACTACTCCGACTCTTCCTACGGGATCTTCCATCTGTTTTAAGTAATAAAACATTTTTTTTTTTTTTTTTTTTTTTGCTTTCTTTCATTCTACCACAATGATTTTGTCATATTAATTTAATATAAAAAAAAAAAACGAGTGATTATTATTATTATTATTATTATTATTATTATTAGATTTTTCCCGTCGGATTGCAGACATCTTGAATATCAAAAAGTTAATAAGCATTATTTTATTAACTAATTTCTAAAAAAAAAAAAAAAAAAAAAAAAAAAAATTTTTAATTTTTTTCTTTTCTTACTATGATTCACATGCGTGACTAATGAGCAATAATCGTGCAGTGTTTCTGATAATCAAGATGTCGGCCATATTATATTAGATAAGGATGGATAATCGATAACCCCTCATCAAACACAAATTGAACAAGGATAATAAATAACAAAAAATAAATGCTGCGACAAAGTGAATGTAACAAAAGTGCGGAGTCGCCATTTTTTTTTACACGTTTTCTATCCTTTTCTATCCTTTTCTTTTCTTCAACTCACCGTTAAAAAAAAAAAAAAAAAAAATTTTCTTTCTGCACGGTTTTAAAAAAGGCTCTTTTCGTCTCTGTGTCCTGGCTTTGATAATTTCGTTTTATTTAAAAAAAAAAAAAAAAAATGATGACAACAAGTTCAAAAAACATCGAACCTGTCACCGTCTTGTGAGCCTTCGCCATCACTAGATAAAGATGAACCTTGTTTAGCTAATCTTCTAACATCCTCTGGAAGAACTTCTTCGCTTCTATGCACGGTAAAAGATGTTTTCCCGCATCTTCCAAACCCTAATCTTCTCTTACGACCTAAATAGTTATTATTTTATAATTTTTTTTTTTTTTCTTCTTTTTTTTCTGTTCCGGTTTTTCCAACCCTAATTCACACTTCAAATGTGTGAAACTATCTATCTATTGGGATAATTTTGGGAACAACCGTTTTTTTTTTTGTTTGTTACGCGTTAACAATAATAATAATAAGAAAAAAATAAATGATTCGCCGTATCCCTATCTCTCTCTAACCTTTGTTAAAAAAAAAAAAGAAGCGAAATAAACGAAAATTACCGGTTGCGGAAAGTTGGGAGGTAGAATTGCTTTTTTTACCCATGCCTGAAAATTGTGATGATGATGATGATATTTTTGTTCCTCTTTCGTTTCCTTGTTTTCTATGTTCTCGCCTTTCCATGTCGTGAAGGGGACCCACGGCGGTATCACTGAGGCTTCCATCTAAACGGAAAAAAAAAAAAACGTTATAGTTGATGGTTTCTTTTTTTTTTTTTTTTTGAAATTAGTCGTTTCCACAAATTAACCTCTTTTTTCTTCTGGTGGAACATCAGCATTGGAAAGACTTCTCACAAATTGTCCTCTTCTCGATCCTCCGTGATTATTTCTTTCCAACGATCTTTCCTGCCTCTGTTGAGATCTATCTCTTCGATCGGATATCGATGATCTTCCACCACCATTTTCGTTTCTCGCATCGCGAGTTGAATTTGGAAAATCGCTGTAATGAAAAAAATAATAATAATTATTAACGAAATAAGAAAACGACGAATTAGAATTTCCCCCCCCCCCCAATAACAGTTAATTAAAAATAACCTAAGTCTTTGAGGACGTTCAGACTGCGTTGAGAAAGCACTACTTGTGACGGAAACAACACTTTCCATATCGCTATCCCCAAAACCTTTGTCCGGTGACAGCCAGTCTCTCATTCTCGTTTTCATATCCGATGTGGGAAGATCGCTATCGCTGAGACCTCCATAATGACGATCCCAAACTGTAAATACAAAAACTCACCAATAACGTTTCCGACGTTGCCATATTGTCATTATTATTATTATTATTATTATTATTACTACTAACCTCCGCTACTTTTTTTCCTTTGCATCATGGCCATTTTTTGTCTAATGTATTGAGCACGTTCTTCTAAGTCTTGACTGGACGTCTCTCTAAATGTTCGTCTGTATTGAAAGGAAGGAATCTGAGGAAGATGTCTTTTTTTTGGAGACCCTGTTGGCGTGACAGTGGCTGATCTATAAAAAATACAAATAAATAAATCATGGATTGTCCAGGCAAACGAATTCCTTTTTTCTTTGTTCAAGGTCCTACCTGGACGCGAATCTTGGCACATAAGAGTGGGAAGGATAAACGCTTCTTTCGGAAGGTGATAGACTACCTATTCTTTCGGGACTTTTAGATCTGCTTCTTGAATGTAATGAAGGCGAATCGGTGGGAGCAGCCGAATGAGATCTTTGTGAAACAATGATTTGATCACCCTAACCGACAAAAAAAAAAAAATTTAATTTTTTGTACGCGTGAAACAATTTCGTTAATAATAATAATAATAATAAACGGTTAATGAAAAACCTTTCGATGAGTTTGATGAGTTCCTTGTTTTTCTCTACTCATCATAACTGCCGTCCGTTTTCTACCCTGGGGAGACATATCTCTTCGTGATCTTCTTTCGCTCATTTCGATTTCGGGTGGAGGACTTTAAGAAAAAAAAAAAAAAAAAAATTAATTTAAAAGATGGATGTAGTTCATTAATGAGATAGTTTTTAAAATACCTCGTGGAACTTCCTAAACTACTTATGCTAGCACCATCGGCAACTCTTCTATCCCTCGTTAAATCCTCTAAATCGCTCGCATCCGAATCAGATAGTCTGGACGTTGTGCTCGGAGGAGAAAGATGATCCGTAGGAGTCAAATCCAAGTCCATTTCTTTTTCTCCTCGTCTCTATAATAATAATAAATTGTAATAAATATGTCAAATTCATTATTCCATCGTCAAATTATTATTATTATGTTACCCTATAAGGAGGAAGCAATTCTTCGTGAGCGTTCAAATGATACCACGTCGGTTCCTCGTCTAGAGGAGCCATATTAACTTCTAATAAAACTTCACCGAGAAAATCATTCGCTCCGAATCTCACGTAATCCCAAACGGTGATTTCTAATATTTTTAATTTTAAATCGTTTCGTCTAATTCCACAATACACAAATGTCTGATTCCACCTGGGATCATTTGTATTAGCTATTGTCTTGGTTCGTCTTTTAGATTTTTCACTTTTATCCGGCAGTAAAAATAGTTTCGCGTAGGGATTCCTCGGTTCGCCGTTACTTCTGGGTGTTAATTCAGCGGCACACACGAGAGTAACTGCGAGTTGTAAAGCGACCGCGTCAAACCAAAGTTTCACCTTTAAAAAACCATTATTTACGTTATTATGAAAGAAAAATAATAATAATAATTTTAAAGAGGTAGTAATATCTACATACCTGCATCCTGCCACCGACATTGGCATTTGTTGCTACGGTTTGTTTAATCCTAGAAGGCCTCAAAGAATGCATGTCAGGACTGCCTGGTGAAGTTACACGAACGCTTGGTTTATCTCTCATTCTCGTTTCGTAGACGTCTGTAATGAAAGGAATCCATTGTAATAAACCTTCACTTTAGAAACACAAATATTATTATTATTATTATTATTATTACGTAAAATTTTTCAACCTTTATTTTGCGTCAGACTAGGTGAAATATTCAAAGAACGTCTTGAAAACGTATGAAGTTGTCCCTGAGTCCACGGCAAGGTACCTCCCTGCCTTTTTGGTCCTATTGGTCGCGAAACCAACAATTCCACTTGGGGATCTTGTCTACTTTCGGCGATTATATCAGACACTTCTTGGCTCGTCGCTCCCCGAAATAATCGTCCGTTCCATTCGATCACTTCATCTCCTACGAGAAAAATAAAAAATTTTTTAACATTTTTTTTTTTTTTTTTAAAATCATTTTTTTTAATTAAAATTTAATCAACTAACCGGGACGAAGTTGTCCTTCGACATCGGCTATACTTCCTTTTTTGACTTTTTCCACCAACGCACCACGGATTCCGCTATCCAAAAGTCTATTCCCTTCGACTTTGAGCCCTAATATCGGCGTCGTACCCGACATCGGTTCCCTTGATCTGTTTAAAATCATGTGACCGATGAGATGAGTACCATCTTCGCTTATTTCCCATGAAAGCGGATGCTAAAAAAAAAAAAAAAAAAAAAAAAAAGCAAAATTTGTGTGCTTCAGCTCACGTGTACACGTATAATAAACACGCACTCGCACACGCACACTCACGCACACACACGCATGCCTTAATTTAATTTAACTAAACGATTTTCTTTTTTCAAAAAAAAAAAAAAAACAAGCAAAAAACTATTTTAAAAAGCGGAAATCAATTCTAAATGAAGAACAAAACAAATTTTTTTTAAATTAAACTTTTCTTTTGAAAAAAAAAAAAAAAAAATTACATATCTCTTTCCGGTAATTAATTATACATAATATACAATTAATATTATTCAGCAAATAATTCCTTTGTTAATAATAATAATAATAATAAAAAACTGAATACATACGAAAACACCGAATATATATAAAAAAAACTAACATTTATTACAGAAATTATTATCATTAATATTATTTAATAAAAAATCCGAAATGATTATTCGAAAAAAATTTATTAAGATTGTGATTATCGGGGCATTAGAAAAAAAAAAAAAAAAAAAAAAAAACTATCGTTACTACGTTTTATTTTTACGTATAACTAACTAATAAATAAAATTTACTAATTTTTAAATAAATAAATAAATAAATAAAATATTGCACGAGATAATTTTTTATGTTAATAATTATTATTATTATAACTATATATTTTTTTTTAATAACATAATTTTTGTACACACACATAACTTTTTCTGTGTTATTACAATCATTTTTTTTTTTTATTTATTTTTTTTTAACTATTAAAATTAAGTATTTTTTGCGCACGCGCACACACATACTGACGGGGAATTTTCATTTTTCCTGGCAAAAAAAAAAAAAAAGAAGAAAAATTCCAAAAAAAAAAAAAAAAAAAAAATCTACTTTTAAAAACAAACAGCAAACAACAATCATTCTATCTATTTAACGATTAGTAGCAAACAAAAAGCTAAAATTTTTTAATACAATTATAAACAAATAAAAAAGCAGCAGACGACGACGTTTTAATGACGTCATTTTTTTCAATATTATTATTATTATTATTATTATTATAAAAATTCATTTATGTATTTATCTATGTATGTATCTATGTACATAAAATATGTAAAAACATACATACATAAGCATACGATTGGAATCATTCGAACCTGACTCTCATATATATTCTACTAAATGAAACATTTATTATTATTATTATTATTATTATTATTTAAAATTATCTACTGCTACTAATTTATTTACTACACAAACATTTTTCAATAAAAGCTGCTCTTTTTTTTTTTCTCTCTCTCTTTTTTTTCATTTATTTATTTATTTACTTTGCTCTACGATATTTTTTTTTTATGTACCTTAAAATCTCTATTAGAATCTTCGCTCGATGTAAAATTGCTCGAAGTTTCTATTCCAGAATCTTTCGTTCCCGAATCCTGTGATCCTTGTCTGAGCGAATCCCACCTTTCGACGTTATCCAACGTCATCCAACCTGAATCGAAACTTTCGCTTTCATCTCCTCCACCATCGAATCGAACCGTTTTTTTCCTTCTCAGGGTGAATCGAGTTCTCTTATCGGCTTCATCCCATATTTTACTACCGGATCTTATTATGGCATTTTTAATATCGGTGTAATAACTCGTCCTGTAATTGTCCAGGGATTTAGGAAATTGTATATCTTTTTTCATTCCTCCTTTACCCGCCATCTGGTATCGGGTTCTTATTGTTTTATACCACGATTGTTTCAATGCGTTTCTATCTGTTAAATTACACTCGGTTCCATCGTCCAATCCCAATTCGGGAGAGTAATCCGGGGAGAATGAATGTCTTCTCCTTCTTTCATTCGACAATAAATTCACGGGATCATCGTATGAAGAATATATATTTTCGATGGAATGACGATTGAATCCGCGATCGGAAATTGTTTTCATCGAATTTTGATGGTGTTGTGGGTGGTGATGACGGGGGTGGTGACGGTGTTGGATGTGGTTGTGGTGATGGTGGTACGTAACGGCATCGGATGTTGATTCTTCGTAATTTGAATAACTACCATTCGTCTCTATATTATTTAATCGATCGTGATTGTTTCTTCTGTGTTGTTTTGAACGGATGATTGAGCCATTTTTGGAATCTTCTCATCATGTACAAAAAGTATTTCAACTCCGAATTAATTAAATAATTCACAATTTAAATAAAAAGTAAAAAAAAAAAAATTTTTTTTAAAAATGGATCCCAGTCAAAAATTAAATTTTTTTTTACCTCGTATAAAACGTTTTTCCATATACACACAATTTTAACAATTTGTACCACATAAATTTTTAACAACAAATATTTAAAAAAAATATTTTAAAAAATCGACATTTTGTATGTATTCAGTATTATTATTATCTTATCCGAGGGGGTGGGGAAGGGGGGGGGCGAATTGATTTCCGTTTTTTTTGAAATTAATCAATACTTTAAGTGAGGGATCAGGTTCAAATTTTTTTTTCCCATATCGGATAATTCGTTTGCATATAAACTTGTTTCGATTGATCGATCGATAAATCGAACGATAGATCGATTGATGTATTCAATTTGAACCTTCCCTATTTTTTTTTTTTTGATAAATATATATTATATATTTGAAAATCATCTCACCGCAAGAAATTTTTTTATCTTCTCATCTTTGAGTATTGCTTGCCTACTGTAAACATTATCCCCTCTTCTATCAATGAATATATTTCCTAAAAAAATTTTTCGTTTTTCTTTTTAAATTTTATATAATATTAATAATAATAATAATAATAATAATAATAATAATAATAATAATAATAATAATAATAATGTAATAACCGTTATTTATTTAATTATATTATATATTATTATGGATGGCATTTCCTAACCAACGCGAAATAAAAAAAAAACAAAACCCGAACCGCCATTTTTTTTACGTATGCAACGACCACAACAACAACAACAACAACAAACAACTTTCCCCACTTTTTTTTTATAAGTATAAAATATTATTATTATTATTAATTAATTAATGAATAAAATCAATTAATCGATGATAACATTCATTAATAATTAATAAATTACGAATAATATATAAGTAAAATAAATTAAATATTTAAAAAAAAAAGGAGGAGGGGGCGGGGAAACAACAACGGCAAGTTGATAATGATTATTATTATCATCATCATTATCATTATTATTATTTTTACAGCATTGCCTACGTCATTCTGCGTGCGTTTTGCACTTTTTACTTGAATTCCCTTTTTTTTCAAAATTTCTTTCCCTTTTCTCCTTTTCTACTTCCCTTCATCCCCCCCTCTCTCTCTCTCTTTATATATATATGTTATTGATTCTGTAACGGAAATTTTTTTTTTTTTTGTTAGAGATTCGATACTAGCAAAAGAGAGATAGAAATGACCGCGAAAAAAAAAAAAAAAATTACAACAATGCAGATGATGCGACATAAAAAAAAAAAATGATAGCGGAGTAGGGAAGAAGAAGAAGGATGAGGGGGAAAGTGAAAGAGTAGAATAATCATTCGAGGGAAAAAGGAGAGGGAGGTGAGGGGGGGAGGAAAGAGTGGCGGTGGAGGCGGCGGCGCGGGAAGCGGCGGCGGTTAAACGAGAAAGTAGGGAATCAAGAAAATCAATGAAACCCAGGTTAGTGACGTCAGTTTTTAGGAGTGGGGGGAATAGTCACGAGACCGAGAAAGTTATGTGAATCTCTTTCTCTCTCTCTCTCTCTTTTTCGCTTCTTCTTTTTCCCCACTCGCATTTTCCCCTCCCCTCCCATCCCTTTCCCCCCACACACACTCTCTCTCTCTCTCTTTCTCTCTTTTCCCTTATCGTTCATATCTACCTTTCCTTACTCTCTGAATTACAATGGGAATCAATGAAATTCATTTTATCGTCCTGGTAATTGAAATCAAAAAATTTTCTTTGTTGTTTGCCATTGGAAACTTTTTTTTTTTTTTAAATCCTTTGACTAATTAAAAGGTGGTAACATGTGTCAAAGGTTATTTGTTATGATAACTCATAGAGAAAATAATCAATACCAATAATTATTTCTGGTTTTTCCATTGTTTATATAAAAGAAAATGTTTTTTCCCATCAAAAAAAAATAATAATAATTTAACATGTGTACGAATACTAAACGCATGATTTTTTTTTTTTTATAAATATCTCACGAAAACTATTCATAAGCAAAAAATATCATTAAAAACAAACGAATACCCCAACAAACAAACAAACGAACAAACAAACATGAACCTTTCTTTGAAGAAATAAAAAAAAAAAAAAAAAAAATGAACACAAAGAGTTTTTCTTATCGTCAAATCTTATGCGGCATTTCTTATCATTGTTGCCTTTTAAGGCTCAGTTTTCAACAAATGTTACGCAATTTTGTAAAAATAAAACCTTTATATGAAACCTAACAAACCTTTTTTCATTTCTTCATTTTTCTATTCTATTCGGGAAATCTATTTCGAATCAATATTATTATTATAATAATTCTCGAATATTAAAACGAAGACAGACACTCTCAGCAACAACCATAATTAAAAACTGTTAATAACGCATACATTTTTTTCGAAATCACTCGTACCAACTTAACTTAAATATTTATTAAATAATTCGAATTGAAAATTTTAAATAATAAAATTTGGTTAGGAAATGCTTGAGATCCAATCAATGGCTATGAAAAAATTATTTAAAGTGAAGCTTTTTCCCTTAAAGTGAATTCACTTTGATATTTACAAAGATTTTAAAAGCTTCCATTGACATATTCAAATGTTGGTAAAAAGTGTCAAAAATTTATATGAATAATAATAATAATCGATTTCACACAAGAAAATACATCAAATAATACGAACTAATCGAAATTTCTAATCTACTGTTCTATGTAAATAAATTAATTCTTATACATATACATATATGTATATATACTAAGAATCGTAAGTTTGACATTTATTTTTTTTTTATTTTCCCTGTACGATTCTATTAATGAATATTCTATGAAAACCACTAAAAAAAAATAAATAATAATAATAATGAAAAGGAAAATAATTCAAAAACGAACTCACCCTTATCAATTTTACTATTATCCATATCTTCTCCGCTCGTGCATTCGGGAGATCTGAGATCATCATCAGAAGAACTAAAACTTCTTTGGATTTGTGTATGATGTCGCCCGGAACTTCCGTGTTGTTTTTTTACACTTCCGGTTCTTTTGTGTTTTTTATTATTCGTACTACCACTGCTAACACTTTGATTTCTTTGACCATCCATATTTGTTCTAAATTCACTTCCTCTCACTAATAATTCCGGATAAATATTTCGCTTCTCGTATTCGCCACTCATTTGTTCGGTTCTATATCCGACATCTTGACTCGTTTGGTCGTAATAGGGAGCCGACCTCATCAAATCCTCCAATTCCGCTCTGTAAAACCTCGGATCTTCTTCCTGGTAGCGACCGTATCTTTGATATTGTTGCTGATCGGCAGACGTTCTCGTACTTTGTTCCTGTTGAGAATACTGTCTTCGTAATTGGCTGTTGGATCGTTGAAGGGGAAGATTTTCTTTTTCTGCCGCGCTGTGAGCTCTCTCCAATTTGGGCCTTTTGTCTATGTTTAACGATTGCTGCAAGTTTTCGTTCATCATTGGGAATTGCTGCTGATTTAAATCAGCTTGAATTTTCGACATAACGCTGTCGTGAGTTCCTCCCAATCCTTTATTTATCCATTGTCCCGTTTTACTAAGGAGTTCTTGTTTTTTACGACAAACTATACAAACCCAAATCACCTGGAAAAAACATATTTATTGTCAACAAAAATAAATAAATAAAACTTTTCTTATTTAATAAATATATATATTTAACGAACCTTATTTGATCTAAGAGTGACCTTTCCACCGCATCTGGCACAACACCTGATGCTACAATAATTACAAATATGGCCGACTCCATCGGCAAATTTTGTTTTGAGACAAATATGACAAGTGGCATCAAGTTCGATTCCAGCTTTTTTCTGTTGCTCCGAACGTTGTCGAATCGTTTCTTCTAAAACTTGAACTTCATCCTGTTTTCTCCTGGAAATAATAAATAAATAAAATCAATAAGGTGTCATGATTATTTATAAACTCAAAACTAAAAAAAAAAAAAAGTTGATCAAAGGATGTGTTTTTTTTTTGTTTTCAAGCCTAATTAATCCTAATGCCTAACTACTATTTATAAATTTATTATCATTATTATATTTTCTTTCTTTCTTTCAGTTTCTTTTAACAGTAACGCAAATAGATTGAAACTAATTTTGTAAACTATTTTTTATGTGAATATTCAAATGAAAAAAAAAAAAAAAAAAAAAAATTCATTTACCTCATGATTTCATTTTCTCTTTCTTCTTCTTGTTTTTGCCTCATCATTACTTTTTCAATAATTTGCCTCTCCTCTTCAGTGAGGTGCGATAGGTCGGGCCTGTCGGTCATTTTAACCTTCCCCTATTAACCCGACCATGACAAGTTTAACCTTTTTCATAATAAAATGTTGTTGCTCTTGTTTTTCTTGTTGTTCTTGCTGTTTCTGTTGCTGTTGTTGTTGTCGAGCATTTTATCTCCGTCTGTTTAATATAATTTCATCATTGGTTTGATACCATTAAATAATTTAAAATTGTCACTAATGTTCACCATGATGACACTTATTATTATAATATCATTCACCACCACCATTTTTTTCCTTTTCTTTTCTTTTTTCTTTTTGTTTTTTCAACAAACACTATTTATGACAATGAATTTTTTTTTTTTCTGAAAATATAAATAAATTTTTTTTTTTAATGGAATGGATTATAAATGATTTAAAACAATGTGAACATAACATTTAGTCAATATTAATAAACATATTATTATTGCATCATACACACAATATTGCCATTTATGAATTGTGAGGGGGGCAAGGAGCAAGGGGAGGAGGAGGAGAAGTGGGAAAAAGAACAAATAATATGCCATGATATTAATATATACCGTATTAAGTTATTTAAAAAAAAAACTCACAATTATATTCATATTTTTCATACTGGCAAAAATATTTTGATAACACACACATAAGATAACGTTTTTTTTTTTTGACTTTAAACCATGTGTATAAAAAATTCGCGATTCCTCATTTTAATATTAAATAAATTAGCCAAAAAAAATTTTTTTTAATCCAGAAAAAATTACACAAAATTACCGTTTTACATGTACATGTAAACTAATGGGGAAAAAAAAAAAATCAAATTTTAACGATTTTTTTTACCCAACTCACAAATTAAACTAAATATATATATGATCGAATGAATAAATTAATAATAATAATACGTTGTAAAAATTATATATACATATAAAAAAAAAAAAAGAAAGAGACAAAAAACATTTTCACGAAACAATTATGGGTGGTTAACGTCCGCCATTTTGAATCTCGCAAAAACTCGCATTAATAAGTTTAAATTTATAAAATATCTATAAAAAAAAAAATTATCTTTTTTTTTTCTTTTTCATATTATTTTAGAGTTGTTTTAATTTTTATTTTAATTATTTAAAATAATTTAATATTTTATCTTATTTAAAGTCCTAATAGTAATAATAATAATAGAAAACGAAAAAAAAAAATTAACATGTAAAAAAAAAAAACGAACCTTGTTTTTTTTCCTATTTTTCGTTGACTCATCGTATATCAAATCGAATTTTTCCTTTTTTTTTTTTTTCTATATTTTTCGATTCGAAAAGAAAAAAACTATTTTACACACACGAATATTTTATAAATAACAATATATAATTAATATATCACCCAACTGAAAAAAAAAAAAATTCACAAAACCATTTTTTTTAATTTTATTTTTTAGATTTTTCACTGAGAGAGAGAGACGCACAAATACACAAAAAAAAATAAAATAAAATAAAATAAAACAAAGTAAAACAACTTAATTTGGTCTAACAATATTTGGCGTAGAATTTTTTTTTTTTCTTTCCTTTTTTCCTTCCCTTCCTTCCTTCCTTCCTTCTTTTCCGCGGAATGGCGATTCACAAAACACAAGAAAAAGAGATGGGAATGTTGGAGAGTGAGAGAGGAAGGGAAAAGAGATATGAGAAAGAGAGAGATAAAAAATAAGAGAGCGCGGTAGAGAATTTAACGAAAGTAACCGAAAGAATTTTTTTCACCGCCTTCTTTTATTATTATCGTTTTTTTTTTTTTTTTTTTTGAAATAAAACACTGATTTTTCATATATCAACTTAATAACGTAACAATGAATACCAATTATTATTTTTATTATTATTTAACTTCTAACTTTTTTTTTTTTTTTGTCAAAAACATACCTCTTTTCGTTTTAATTACATTACAAACTAAATCTTTTTATTATAAACGCACCGTGATATTATATTAAAAACACAAAATAATTTTTTTTTTTTTTTTTTTTTTTAAATATTATTTTTCTGAATAAATAAGTAATAAGTCGGGGATAAAATTTGACCAATAGAAAGTTAGTTTAAAAATGACGTCACGCTAGTCTAGATGTATTGATTTTTTACTTTCTTGCACTAAAAAAAACCTCCCACCCTCCTACTCCTACTCTTCCTCCCTCCTCTTTCCCCTCCGCACTCATTCTTCTTCTATGATTTTACCCCGAAACGTTGTAATTAAATTCACATAAAATGAACAACTTCGATTTATTCTTACTTACTTACTATATATTAAATGAACCGTCATTAATTAATATATATATATATATATATTGAAAATTATTACTGTAATTTATTTTTTTTGTTAATAACATTTGGTCACTAGTAATAAAACACATTATTTAAATATTATTATTATTATTATACTATTTTGTATGTGTTAAAAAATAACCTTTAAAATATATTTTTTACATATATATCAAATAGCATTTATCATTTTACATATATATATATATCAATAATCGTTTTAATTTGAAAAAAAAATAATGATAATAATTATAAGAGTAAATAAATAAATAAATATTATAATTAAATAATTTATATGATAAACGTGTAAGAGAGAGAGAGAGAGAGAGAGAGAGAGAGAATTACGAACGAATTAAAATATTAATGCATTTTTCAAAACGTTTCTTTTGTTTGTATAATAAAATCCTCATGAATTTTTTAATTTATAAATAAATAAATAAACATTAACTTCACGCTTGTCTTTTTTTTCTAATTATCGTAAAATAATAATAATAATAAATTCGAATGAAATTTTTTTCTTGATTTCAAATTATTTTCAAAAAAAAAAAAAAAAAAAGAAAATTTCATCATTAATATAATCAATTAAAATAACGGTTTTCGAATATGTTTTTTTTTAGAAGGCGGTGAGTGAGCGTCACGCAAAAGGCGGTATTCTAACTATTCTTTCATTTATGTCTATTTGAAAACTTATCAAAAAAAAAAAAAAAACGATTTGATTGAAATGAACTTGATGATACTTATTTGCGAAATTATGCAATAATAATAATAATAATAATAATAATTTTAACCGTTACTTTTAAAATAAAAAATCGAATGCCCTATTAAATAAAAAAAAAATAGTAAAATAAAGTGAATTTAAATTAACGAACAAAATATGCGGGGGCTGATTTTACCCCCTGAAACTTACATAGGCGTGGGCTTAAATTTGGAACGAAAAATTTTTAATTTAAAATAAAAAAAAAAAAGTTCAATGAGTTAATCTCTTCGTTTGGTCCTTTCAATACAATAATAATTTTCAATAATAATAATAATTTTTTTTTACTTAAACATTTGGTAAACTCTCCTCTCAATTAATACTGTATTTTTTGTATAACTCGATCCTATATATGGATTTATGTACATAATTGTTAGAACGCTTTAATAATAATAATATTAAATACCGTTAATGATTCAATCACATAAAAAAAAAAACGTGATAGAAATTAAAGCAAGCGCGAAAATAATATTTGTTTTTTCGTTAATACGAATTATTTATGCAAAAAATTAAATTAAATTAAATATTAAAACAATTTGAAAGTTTTACTAAATACCCACATTTTATATTAAAAAAAAAAAAAAATATAACGTTCACTTGTTATTAAAACTGCGACCGCTCAGTTAAAACTAAATTTGTTAAACTCTATCCTTCTTCACATTCCCTACTTTTGTTTGAATGACGTAAATTTCAATGTTGCCAAATTAAATTAAAGTCATAGAGTAAAAAAAAAAGAAAAAACTTATATATTTATATAATACGACAAACATGGTGGGTGTATTTAATACCCATTTTATATTTTTTATTTTAATATTATTGTGCTTTTATTAAAAAAATCAAATGATTTGACTAGCCCAACGGTATTTAAAACATAAAAAATAATCATTAACGCCTACATATTAATAAAATTGTTAAAAAAAAGTAAATTTGAAAAGGTTAAAACATTGGTTATATCAGGAAATGCTTTTGTTTAATATTAACAAAAATACATAAAATTATTTTTTTTAATTCTTTATTTCAACATAGGTTGTATCTTTCCTAAATGTTTTGTAGTCTTAAAATCTAAATGAAAATAACCACTGGGTGGTGGTGTTGTTTTATTAACTTACATTCACTAATGAATGCATTGTAGAGGTTCCTCCATTTTTTTTGTCTACCTCCAATAACTACTATCTTCCACTTTTCTTTCTCATTATTATTATTATTATATTTATATATATATAATTTTTTTTTATATATTATTATTATTATTAATTTCTTTCAATTAACTTCCTACTTTAACGATACACGGTAAATTTTTATATTTTTTTTTTTTTTTTTAAACATGAGTTTTTTCAACTGTCTTTATAAACACATAAATTATTAATAATAATGATAATAAAACAAGAAATTAAAAAAAAACTTTTCTTTACCCCATCATAACATTTATAAATAATAATAAATAATGTGAATCATCTTTTGTTTAAAATAAATAAATAAATAAAACAAAAACCACATAAAAATTAATAATAATAATAATAATAATAATAATTTTTGTTACAAAATATAATTCACAATATTGAAACCTAATTAATGCGACGACAACAACAGTGAAATTTTGTTTCTAATGTGAATTACTATTATTATTATTATTATTTTTATTTATTTATTTTTTACTTAATTATTATTATTATTATTATTATTATTATTATTATTATTAAAACAAAAA